AGCGCCGTAAAACCTCTACTAAAACAAAACAAAAAACCCTTATCCGATCCGGACATTGGGGATTGCCTTGTTATTGAGACAACTTCCTGGGCCGTCGACATATTGTGGTAGGGTGGCCAGTTCCTTTCCACGCCGCCTTTACTTCCCCAACTCGAAGTCAGGTACCCATTACTTCTGGGTGGGCAGGAGGGGGCGAAAAAAATCCATGTCCGAACCGAGGTTCGAACCCGGACTTTCCACTTTCAACAGAGTATGTGCAGAAATAAAGGGATATCAAAGTTAAATGACGGAAAACATTTAATACTGGGGCATGCATCAATAATATGCAATGCCGTCGTTGCTATAAAAGAAAGCAGAACTAAAATTCATAAATAATTCTGAAAGAAAAGAATTCATGAAGACGTCCTGGACATATATATATATATATAGTATGTAATACAAGCATAATTAAAAAGTAGGAACGAAGCAAAGTTAGTTATACATTTTTGTTCTGTTCGTCTCTGTACAAAAGGGTTCGAATGATTACTGAAAGGTGAATGACGATTAAGTAAGCCTTCGAAAATAAAAAACCGCAGACGAATACATCAGCGGCCTGGTAAACGTTCGAATATCATGAAAAGGACAAATCAATCTAACCATCAGATCGAGGTTCGAATAAGTTTTTTTGTTGTTGCTTTTTTCTTCAAAGAAAAAAAATGCCCCCACCCCCCAAACAAAAAAGGAAAAAATAATAACCAGTTGCAAAAGGCTTGGAAAAGATTTGGAATAGAACAAAAAAAGCAACAACCCCAAACAAACAAAAAAACAACAACTAGAACCACCTCCCCCAAGAATAAAAAAAAAAATATAGAACACCAATTGAACAAGGGTTGTAATAAGTAACGAAGCAGATTTACAAACAAGAAAATTTATGTTCGAATAAGTAACAAAAAAGAAGAGCAATATATCAATACAATAATAGTTGCAATTGAAATCAACGTTTTGCAGCTCCTGTAAGACATGGCGGACCCTGTATTTACACAATAGGTCAAGTCAGTTCTGAAAGGGGGGTTCAGGTTTCTTTTTACTGAAGTTACATCCATCCATCAATCGTCTGCGTCTTTCTGAGTGGTGTCGGTAGCCTAGTGGTTTAAGGCTACCAGACTCGTTATCGCGTGAGGTTGCGGGTTCGGAAGCTCGAGCCTCAGCTCGGTCCGACGTTGTGTCCTTGGGAAAGGCTCTTTACACCAAATTCCCTTTTCACTCGGTCCTTTCAGAGATGGACGTTAAACCCGGAGGTCCCGCCTCTAGAAAAACTTAGTAGTGTTGATAGAGACGTTAAACCTTTTCCATTTTTTTTAGTCTTTCTGAAAGAGGGTTCCGGGTTTCTCTTTACTGAAGTGACATACATTCTTCACAGTCGTCCATGCCTTTCCGAAAGGGGG